TTTTCCAAGTGTTTAGGTATTACTGATAATTCTCCTTCTCCAGAGAAACACAGAGGGCAGTTGAATTTCTTGGAAGCAAAACACCTTGTTTTTCCATCCTTCTACTGAGGAGTTATTTGAATGAGAGCCTAATTCACTGAAGCCCTGCAATAAGCTTTCACAGCTGCCTAGCTGGTTTACTCAAATGGACATGATGGCAAAGGGCTCTTCTGAAATGTTCATGATGGCTGAAAGAGCAAGAACTATTTTTTATTTTCATTATAGTAATCTTCCTATTCTGGGCAAGTCTTGAAACCAAAGTTTTTTGCTTTCTCGATTGAAGTTCCTCTGTGAATATGGGTCAATTTGAGGAAAAGTGGTATAATCTTCAAAAACGCTGAGCAGTCACTTCACCTGAACAGTTTTCACAAACTTTCTTTGGAATTTTTGAAGCCCAGATGCTCTTTGTAAAAAGAGCTTTTTGACATCAATTGCCAGTGGTTTAGGAGTTGATTCTAAGCATCCCTTTGTGAAACTCTGTCAGTTTTCAATGATGCAGGCAAAAGACAAATATTTTCTATCAAGGTAATCTGCGCAGACTATTATGGGGCGATTTTTTTATCAATGACAGATATCATATATATGTATATGTAGTTAGGAGGTGAAAGAATTCTTTACCTTTGGGGTTGTTCTGTTTTCTTGGTCAGCCAGTGGTTTCAAAGGGCTGTGTGTTTTCTGTTTTACCCCCTCATATAGCCAGACAGGATGGTGGCAGAGGGGCAGTATGTTACCTGTGCTGGAGATGGAGCCTCCAGCTGGTGCAGATTCCAGCAGGTTCTGTGAGTGTGGTGACTGCAGAGCCGAGGCTTTGGGCTTGAGGGGAATGAGCTGGGGACTTGTGGCAGCAGCTCTGCACTGGCTGCCTTAAAAAATATCCCTGTGTCTTTTTGCACTGGGAAATCATAGGCAGTTAATGACTTGGTGGAATGATTTTGAAGGACGTGCTTGCAAACTTAATTGTGGCATTTTCTGATGCTGGACAGCTTGGCTTTCCAATTCGAAGATGCTCTTATTCCATCTTTTTGGATGAAAATATTCTTTTTGCCTAGAGAGTATTATGGCTTCTACATAGAACCATACTAATACAAATATTATGATTCCTGCTTAGCCATAGTGATCTCAACCCCTAGTTCCTCTAGCTGGCCAGGAAAAGACAGAAGGTATGATGCATTTTCCTTTTAATATTGTATTCATGTGAAACATTTGAGAAGAAAGTCATTGTTATAAAACTTAAGAAACATCAACTGGTGTTTCCATTTGTTTGACTGGTGTAGTGTTCACACCTTCTCCTGCACTAGGCAAAGATGTGAAGGGTTACATTGTAGAGTATTTATTCCTAAATATGTGTTGATACTAAAAAATTGTAGATACCCTCAATCACCAATTAATCTTACTTGATTTACTTGTTTCTAAACTAAGCAAATCCTCAAAACTAAATAAATTCTACTTCTCTATGAATTGTCTTTTTCTCACAAATCAACACATATTTCACTTGCAAAATCCCTGTTTGCACTATACATAGATGCTATCTAGAAATTAAATCACTAGAAAGATCAATCTTTCTGCCCAGGGGCAGAATATCTGTCCAGAGGGAAGCTTAGGTGACCCTGCATTTGCAAAGCATCCCTTTGGTTGTGCTGGAGCAAGCAGCAGGGCTAGGGTATTGCTGCAGCTGATTCAGACACAGAAAAACAGAAATAAAACAGAGAAAAACATCAAAACAAAGCATCCTGAGGGACTGCTGGAAATGTTCACATATTTCTTGCCTTCTGCTTCTCTCTCAAGGCCTACATAGAGATTTTGGTTGCTGGTCTCACTCTGTTCACCAAGTAGATAGAGCAGGATGCTCCCAAGTTCAGTAGAATAATATGGGGGGAAAATCCAAATGTTCAAAGTAGATAGAGCAGGATGCTCCCAAGTTCAGTAGAATAATATGGGGGGAAAATCCAAATGTTCATATGGAATATTCTACATATATTATTTTAAAAGCTGTCTTTTTATACCTCTGGAAATAATTAAAGCCTTGTTGGTTTGGGGTTTTTCTTGTTTGTTTGTTTTTGGTTTTTTTGTGGGTTTTTTTTGTTTTGGTTTGGGTTTTTTTTTGGGTTTTTTTGTTTTTTAAGTTTTTTTTTAATAGTTCAGTGTTTTGTTTTGGTTTTTGTTTTAGTTTTTAATCTTTTATTTGATTCTTTCATATTTTTTCTTTTTACCAGATTTTATTTATTTGCTTATTTCTGTCTCTCCAGTGTCATTCTGTGCTCTGATCAGAGATCTTAGGTAATTCTAGAAAAATAAGCACAATTCTGAAGTGTTCTACAGGCTTTTTTATTCTGTTTTTTAAAGAAGTTTTCTGTTACTAACCTCAGAGAGCTGTCTGTGAATGAGCTATTAAGTTTCCAATGGCTTTGAGCTTCTTTCCTAATGCTAGGGAGCTGTGCTTTAAAGGAAAATTGTTTCTATTCGGGTATTTTTTGCAATCAGGACATTCTAAGGGTAAGCAGGACTTGTTATCCTGTGTAAATTGTGAAATGTATCAATTTAGGTAAGTTTTATTTGAAATTGGGTTTTTTGAGTCAACACCAAACCATTTCTGAAGGCAGCGGTACTTCTGAGGACTGTTCTTGTCATCAAGTGGTTCAGTGGATGTGAAGCACCAGAGCTACTTCCAGTCTGAGTAAAGGCTTAAGTACCAGAAATGGAAAGGATATTTATTGATAAGTATCTGCTGCTTCTTTTCTCTGAATGATTCATTTTAAAGTCACCATAAGAGCAAGACTATGCTACTAAGTAAATATTTTTATAATCAGTAACTCATCTGGAGAAGCTGGAATGATGTCAGGGATGAGGAGGAAATTCTGGGAAGAAAATGTTTTCTGCAATGTCTTGAATTATATCCATCCCACAGGCTGACAGCTGCAGGCACCAGACAGAATGTCCTCAACAGAAAGGATATTTAACAGGTTGCTTTGGGGCTAACATTAGTAAGTGAATTATCATTTTACCTTCATACAGCACTATTAAGGGCTCCCAAATGGTAATTTAATATAGCTGAAGGTCTTAAGAAGGTTTTAATAGCTTCTTAAGTATCTAGAAACTGATATATCCATCCCTTGGACATACAAAGAGCTGCTATGAGCTATGAAGGGGGTCTTCAGTTGTTCTGTATTCACTTTGGCCTGCTGATGGAAGGATTTTTCCCAAGACCTGAAATAACCCTGAAATGTAGCAGGTTAGTTTGCAGCAGTTCAACAGACAACTGATGCCCAGGATGTAGACATTTGGAGCCTATTTTGATAACGTTGCTGTAGTAAAAGCACTAGTTTGAGCATTAATTTCTAGGTGTTTTTAAAATGCTAGAAAAACTTGTGTCTTTCTCACAGAAGAAGAGAGAAGGATGGTGTCAGGTACTCAAAGAAAGGGAGGAACACGGTTTTTGGACGTGTTATATTTGTGGTTCCTTACCCAGCAGATCACTCACTGTCAGGCACTTACTGAAAAGAAGACTTGATTTAAACAGCAGTTTTTGTGAAACACTGAGCTGGGGACATTTTTCTCCATCTGAAAAAGCAGATGCTCTGATCATCACCAGTGCTGAATGCTTCTGCTTTCTTTTGAAGGCAAGGCAGTAAAATTGTCACCCTCCACCTCACAGCTGGGTTTCCTTTATCAGAATCCCTCTCTAAAGTCTAAAGGAGATGCTCACAATACTTTCCTTCTGTTGAAACAATCAGGCAAAAGTTTCAAGAAGCAGCATTGATCTTGCTTTTGCAAGGTTTGATGCCAAACCTCAGACGTACCGATCCGCATTTAAATCTGCAAGGCTTTCATCCACACCAGTGGATGCAGCGCTCAGAATTACCACCAGTGGAGCTTTTCCTTGTTAGCAGTTTGGAGTTAAATTACAACAAGCCCTGCATTTACCAACAGTGGAGGATTCTGCCTAACTTCACACTCATTCAAGAATAAAATCAGCATCACATTTTGAAGCGGAAATCCTTTTGCAATTGCAGTTTTGGTATCAATCAGTCCTTCTTTTATTCTTTCTCACATCAGAAGGATTTGGTTTCCCCAGTTTTTGTGTTGTGCTTTGCACCCTCCTGGGCTCTGAATTCGCCTTGCTTGATACAGCACCAGCACCCAGAGTTTGTACCAGCGCCCGTGGTAGGAACCTGGATATAGAAGTGAATAGAACTGGTAGACATGGTCTGGCTGCTACCAAAACAGACTGCCAAAGTGTCCAAGACATGGTTGGTTGACCTACTTTCTGTCTGTTTCCCCTCTCCACTGTGGCCACCTGGGTACTTCAGAGACACCAGAAGAGAAATGGGTCCTCTTAACATCAACAAGACTTTGACTCCTGTATGACATTGAGGAAAGTTAAGCTTTCCTGAATTGCCTTCTCAGGTCATGGGGACAAAATGGTGGTTCTTTGCTTCCCAAGAGCATTCTTAGCAATTTCTGAAGTTAAAGATTTTTCTCTTCACTTGCAAATGATGGCACACATGACCAGTTGGGTATAACACAGTCATGTGTGCTGATATTTAAAAGGTGAGAAGATTTTGAGGTTTGTGATTCTCTCTATCTCAAATGCTTGTTTGCATAAACATTGTTTTTATTATATTACAGTGGACACACAGCTGGCTGTTAGCTGATATAAGAGAGAGAAAAACCACAGTCATCTTAATGCTGGGAGATTTGTCAGTATTAGAAAAAGCAGATGTCTTGGAAAAGATTAGAAGAGGGAAAATTTGAGTATTCTAGTTAGTAGTTAGATCAGTTCCAAAAGTGAAAAGATTCATTGTGCGTTTTGAGCTTAAACTTTTACTTTTCTATGACTTATAAAACATCAGCTGGTTTCAGTCCAGTATCACAGTGCTTACACAATAAGACAGTCTTAATTAGTCATTTCAGTTTAAATTGGCTGGAGTTTTGATGTTAATTGAATTGTTTTCCCTTTGCAGGGACCTCAGGGGCCTCCAGGACAAAAGGTATAGTATAAACAACAATGGTGTGAAAGTGATTATTCCTCCTGTGCCAAGTTGCAAGCAGAAAAGGTGAATGGAATAAGCTACTGTACGCTGCATTGAATCAATTAGCTTAGGTTCTGAATTTAGTTTTTGCAAAATGGAGCCATATAATGTGAGACACAAGATTTCTCATTTCCCCCATTGTAAGAAGTTCAAGCCATGCAGAGCAGACTGTTTTCAATCTGTCTGCTTAACTTTCAGGTGAAAAGGTCACTATAATTTTCTCATTCATACACTGGTGCGATTAGGAAACCGAAGTTAAAACGTTGTGAAAGGTGGGGAGATAAAATTTCTGATTAAATGCATGTCTTTAGCCGAGTAGATCAGTGCCATATGACTAAAGAATTGACCAGCAGAAACAAAGGACGTAGGTGCTGCTGATAAATAGTGCCTGGTTGGTGGTGTTCAGGTGGTCTGCTCGTGTCTTCCTGTTCCTTCGGTAACCTGAGACCCCACTTCCTGGGAATGCCTTCAGCGTTATTTACACTCATTAAAGCTGGCTGCCTCAGTTTGATGGAGTGAGTTTAGGATTTATGGAATTACCCCGTTAAAACAGTCCTCAGAATATCAGCAGTAACAGCTAGTGAGTGGCACTTTTCTGGCATCTGACTCACATGCCACCAAGGTGGGTAATTTTCTAGCTGATTTCAAACGATTGAAAAGTTGTATGAAAGATATTTAATAAAACAGCTAGAATTTGTATAAAGGAAAAAAAGAAGGAATAAGTACTATTGACATACGTGAGAAGGATGCCTGCTTTTCTTCTTCTGAGAATAATGTTCTTTAGAGAGAAGCATCTGTTAAAATGAAACTTTTTAACAAAAGAAAGAAAAACCTGTGATACGTAAAACATAATCCCAAAGTATACGAATTGGTGGAATTTTGGCAGCTGTGGGCTGTATAGAGTGTGCAGGCTGAAGGAGAGGACTACCATTTGTGTTTGGCAATGCAGGAATGTGGCTCATGTCTAAGTTGCCATTACAAAGGTGTACCCTGAGAATTGTGGAGGAGGATACTTAGTGTGTATGGCATCAGCAAAGCCCACGTGCTGATGAACTTGTGAATATCTGGTAAACATTTACTTACCACAGTAGAATCAGCTTCATTTTACACTTTCTAACATCCTGTGTTTCGTAAGAAAAATAATCGGCTGCCACTGAGAGGAGGAACTGTTATACCTAAGATAGTTTATTGAGGCTGATGGTTTAATGCCCTCCTGAGCTTTGCCTTCTAGTTTTCTGGAAAACTGATACAGAGATGTGAAAATGTTCACTCAGGGCCTCTTGCAGTAGCTTAAAGCCATGACCATGTATCCAGCAAAAAGTTATGACAAGGATGCCAAAGAGGAAGCTTTGGGAGAAAGGGGAGCCATGGAGATATGCTGGGATGCAGTGTTTTATTTCTTACTGATTCAAAGCTATGTTACTAGCTCTTGGAGGGTTTTTGAGACCCTCATGAGTTGCTTCCTTTTCCTGTTTCACAGGATTTCCCAACTCTATTAACTGACAAATGTGTGCATCCATTTTGGGTGCACTTCCTTTGGGTGTTGGTGATAATTTTAGTGACACCTCTAACCGAAATAGAGGGGAAATTGCCATGCAGCAGTTCTTTCAGTTTCCTTGCTGAACAGCACCATCTTTATAAAATAAGAGGAGAATGCTGTACAAGCAGATGCAGCTTTCCTGCTTTCCTCATGCTTTGTGTTTTCACTGAACTTCCATAGCAAATTGCACAAGGTCCTTCGAAAAAATTATTCATCACATAGAAACTTACAGTATGAGAACTTTGTACCAAAGATCCCTCCAATGTTATAAATCATTGTTAATTTTTTTTTCCTTTGTCCCTTGTGTTTGGTCTGTATTGACCTTTTAATTTTGATTGTGCTAATATTGATGCAGTTTAAAAGTGTATCTGTAATTTGTACTGTCAGACTGAATCATTGCAGATTATCTCTTAAAAGCCCTGAGATGGATTTGTGCTACAAGTTATTGAGCTTGAATAATCCCTCTAAAAGCATTAATAGTTTTGTTCAGATGCTATGTTTGATTGCATGGTATCAGTCTCAAAACTTACTGAGGGCATTGTATGGAATAGCATTTTAATTCTTACATTTCTTCTGAAGCATCCACAATATTATAAAACACGAGCTTGGAGCTTGTTTCTGGAAAATGCCATACAGTCTTTAAAAAGTACAACATGAGAATATGTCTAATTAGTATAAAATCTCAAATGAAAGGAGAGCTCAGCTTGGATAAAAATGAGTTCTTGAAAAATTTATTGCAGCTATAATAAGCAAACATTCAGCATTATTTCTAAATACTGTATTATGAGATGAAAGGTTTCATGACCTGTTTAATTTGCTAAACACTGGCATCTGTTTCCCTCCAGGGTTCTGTTGGAGTGCCTGGTGTTCCAGGGAGAGATGGACAAGTGGTGAGTTCTCTGACTTTTTCAGCACTGCCATTATTTATGTAGTGGATTAAAGCAATTTTGGGCTTGTTCACATGAGCAATATGCAACCTTATATCCAGAGCTGTGGTTTCAAATTGGCTTCATGGAAAAGACCGTATAATACGCTTTGTGCTCTGAAGTAAGTTTTTTCTAGTTTTACCTGAACAAGCAGCAAATGTAATTAATTAAGCTGAAAGTCTGGTATTCAGATTTGATGATGACTGATAGGTTGTAGAAAGAAATGCATATTAATAGTGTGTTGCTTGAGTCAGCATATTTACAAACAAAGGGTTTTTTACTTTTTGTTAACTCAATCCCATGATACAAACACTGACACTGATATTGGGTATTGATATGGTGCCAAAACATTGTTTGTACAACCCATACATAGAGAAATGAAAGGAGATGGAAGTGCAGCTGGAGGATCATTTGAAATTGAATTTTGGGGATGAAAACACAGAGGAATAAATCAAAGAAATATTTCTGAACACAGCCAAGAGAAAATACTAATTTAGGCAAGTCACTGTCATCTCTCAGTAAAGTCATGGTTCAGAACAGCCCTCCATAGGGAGAGGTCATAATAAAAGCAGCAGGGCTGTGTTACAGCATTGCTAAGGTTTCTTGGCAAATCTGGGTGATGAAGTTTAAATACTTGACTGTAAAGAGTATTATCCATCTGTTGTTCTCACAAGCCCTAGCATTCCTGGTGAACTTCAAAAGCACTGGCAAGGGATGCCAAAAGGAAAATGTATGATATATATGTTCACCAGGTTAAAGCAGCAGCAGATGGTAATGTATGAGGGTTGTATTAGACAATCCTCTCTTCTGCTTCCCTCACCAAGAGCCCTAGGAATAAGTGCTAAGATGTTTCAAATAATTTACTTTTCATTTAAAAAAAAAAAAAAGAAAAAAGAAAAATGTCTTAGACCTGTGTTTTGAGAGTGGTTATAAGAAATAATGAAATAATAATTTATTTCACTTTAGTGATACTGATAGAATTTATTTTTAAGCTATTCAGAGTATTATGACTAATGTGATGAAATAATAATTTATTTCACTTTAGTGATACTGATAGAATTTATTTTTAAGCTATTCAGAGTATTATGACTAATGTGAAACAACAAAATAAAAAATATTTAGAATTTTATATATATATATATATATACATATATATACATATATATAACACCAGAATTTCTAAGAAAATAGTATGAAACAAATTTTCATTAAATCCTCAAATTTTTTTCCTCCATATTTTATAGCTGCATTCAGTTGCAACAGGAGTGGTAGACAGTGCTTACCAACTGAGATGCTGTTGCTGCATTACTTGCTAATTCAAGTCATTTTTGTGGCCTGACAGAAATGCCAGTGCAAATTTACTTTGTAGCCTATCTATAGGAATATGTAAGAAGACTGAATGGGTTGAAGTTGGAAACCACTTTGAACAGAGCAGAACTGATGATTCATATTTTATTCAAGAACATTATTTTTAGTAGTAGTCATACAAACTCCAGCCAGGAAAATTCACTCAAATGAGCAGAAAAATTGATATTAACAAAATGTGTCAAATGTGTGATTAATGTGTTATTTTGGGAGACAGGGAATTTTTTTAAGCTCTATGGCAAGGTTGTTTCATGTCTATTTTTAGGAGACCACATAGACTTATCTGCTGTCATTTTTCAGGGGGCATAAAAGAAATGTACAATTAACGTTATGGGAAGATTCAAGCACACCTTTAAATGCTGATTATTAATTTTAAATTGTGCTTTAAAAAAAAACTCCAAAATTTTTAATTTATGAGTGTCTGTTTATTTGATTTACTTTAGCATTCATAAGATCTGTAACTTTGCAGACATTTTAAAATTATTACCACTTTATTAAAGATGTCAGTGTGCTTTTAGTGTAGCTGGACTGCTTTACTTTTGACCTTTAAGAAAAAAACTGAATTACTAAAGTGAAACATAGGTTCCAGAACAAAAGCCACACGGATAAAAATAAATTGTTGCTGCATTCTTTAGTTTGATTTCCCAAATGTTGGTCAGTATTGACTAGAAAGCACTTCCTTATTTGCAAAACATGTATTACTTTCATATAATACTGGGCAGATGCAAGTTGAATGTCGCTGTCTCTTCTAATAAATAGATTAAAAAAATCTGTTAATTGGAAATAGTGGTAGAAATTAAGTTTAAACTGCAGCAGTGTTTGTCTAAAGTTAGAAAGTATAATGCAGCCTAGGAATCCCATGTTATTATTTTGCTATCAAAAGGTCAGTTCTTCCAATTTCTTTGAAAAAACAGATTCTCAGTGCAGTCCAACACACAAGATGTTGCATGAGGACCAGAGTGGTGATTTTAAGAGTTGGGCTGTACTGTGAGCCAGCTGCTGGCACTTCTGGCTTTACTCATTCAGATTCATGGTGACTTGCAGAGCAGTTGGGTTCAGCTTGCACGTGTGGTGCGAGTCATCCCCTTTTTGGGAGTTACATAGTTCAAAGACTTTACAAAAGCCTTACTCTCTTGCTTGCCTTTTGGCCATTGAGCTCGCTCTGTTAGGCAGCAGCATGTGCAGTGCACAAAGTTCCAAGTTAATATTTTTCCTTAGTTTAAAAGGCAGTGAGTGTTAATAGCACATGCTTAAAATGAAGTGTATGAATGCTTTTCTCCTTTGGACAATGAAGTATTTTTCAGCCGATGAATGTCGGCAGTGAATTAGCTTTGCTCTGTCCTCAGGCAGTTGAACAAAACAGAGTTAGGTCATCTCCATCTTCTACGTGCCTCTGTAATTTTCCTTTTTCTTTCTTCTCACCTCTTCTTTAATTGAGGTACTGGGTTACGGGAGATGATTGACAAGTCTGACCAGTAGGTCTGGGAATGAGATCATAAATTCTGAGTGCACTGAGAACAGCTTTCTAATCCCTTAACATATGAACCACGTCTCTTAGACAATCTCTAGATATTAGAGTAAGTGTAATTTTACACAACCCACATGTTTTTGCAGGACTGTTAACCAGTAGATTTTTCTTGTACTCAGAGTAGCAAAATCACTGCCATAAAACCTTCACACATTAGGCCAAATCCAGTGAAACATTACAGGTAGTCTTGCAAGCACATTTATAATCTTCATTTGTTCCTACATTTGAGAAACTACAGCAAGTTTATCTTGAGAACAGTAACTGCTTAATAATACCTGCAGCTGGAGAGAGTGCTGTCTCTGGGATGGACCAAAAGCTGCAGAGATAAGGAGTCTTTGAGTGCTCCTTTTCCTTTGCAGACTGTTGTACAATCCACAGGTTCCTTTCTATCACAATGCAATGGCAGATAAACTTCCCTTTCTCCATCCCTGGCAGAAGCTCCTCAGGCACTCGACAAGAACAAAAAAGCATTAGTTCAGCATGGAGATAGGAGGTTGCAGTGATCTAAGGATATCATATCCCTACATTAATCATGTTGAAATGGCCACAAAGGGCTTCTTGGAAAGCTCAGCTCTGGAAGTACAGAATATATATTCTGGTATTTGTTAAGTGGTGCTGATTTGATAAGGGCTCTCAGTGACTGCAGCAGTGACACAAGGAGAAAAGCAGGGATGCCTTAAATTAAGATGTCATTTGGCCTGGAGGAACCCAGTTTCTGGAGTTTGTGCAAATAACTCTCTTTGTTTTAAATAAGAGTTTGTCTGGAGTGCATAAATCCCTCACTCTAAACTTCCATAAATCACTTTTCCTTATGTAGTACTTGATATTTTGGTGGGTTTTTTTTGTAATAGTGTGTTGAAAACACAGCGAGTGGTCAGGATAGATCCCTTTGTTTCAAATTCTTCTGGTAGATAGGCAGTAGCAATTTGATAAACCTCAGAAGAATTTTCCTTATTGGTAGATTCAGAGTCTGGGTATGCACATGTCTTACTGTTTTCTTTGTGCTTCTTGTTTTTCTAATTTACATGTATTTCCTTACTGCTGTGTGCTGTGCTGTGTAGGAACACATTTTGAAGGCAGCAGTATCCAATTTCTTCAGTGAAATGGGGAAGGGTATGCATGTACTAACATTTTTTTTCAAATAAAGGGAGGAAACGTCATAAATGTAGTTCACAAATTCTCAGACAGGTTTGCAGGCCAGCTGAGTCTTGTTGAAGAGCCTTTCCACTTAATTTCAGTTGGTGAGTGGGCCAGGACACATTTCCAGTCCTTAAACAAACAATTTTAAGTTACTTTTGAGGGGCGCAAAAAGAAAGTTGAAAGGAAATTAATTCAACCTTAGTTTGAAATGGAAATCATAGTAACATATCTGAAAACCATTTTTTTACCCTCTGTCATCTATGTATTTTAGAGTAAAATTAGACTGGATTAGGTTTGGGGCCTCTTGTGTTTCCTTATCCTTAAATTGATTACATTCTAGTGACTGAAAAATATAGCAATACTGACAGCCTTTCTTTCAGGGTGAGGTGGATATCAACCAGCTGGTGCAGACAGAGTTATGCATCTCACCAAAACAAAACCTATTTCAGAACCACAGCCTCCAGGCTGTTTTTCTGTTACAAACAAGAAAAGCTAGGGCCTCCAGCCATGTTATTTTTAGCTGATTAATTCTGGATAGGAAGGTATATGCCTCAAGGGCAGAAAGCACTCCAGTAAGTGCTTTCAACTGCCTCAACTCCTTTGATATGGACTCTAGTGGGTAATACATTTTCAGACCTGTTCTGAAGTAGATTCGATGTGTTCAAATTGACAGATTTTTTTTCTCATATTACCAGCAGAGCCCAAGCAATTCTCTATACACTTGACTACTCACCAAATTCAGATTCACTTCAGTGTGAGCATTATGACTGCCCCTACCACGAGAGTATCTGAGGAAACTGCTACACCTATTTATTGACCAGAGTGCTGAAAGTTGTTCTTTGCCCAAACACAGGAAAGATAGTCTGTCAGTGTCAATCCAGTTATACAGTTATTACAGACTCAAGAGTGTCAGGACTTGAACCAAGGTGTTCTGCCATGTGTCCAAAGGAATATCCTTCTGCTTTTGTTTCAAATTATCTGAAACTCCTGAATTGAATGGTTGGGTTGGGTATATTCTTGACATGTTTGCATTTTGTTTGCCTTGATAGTTGATACCATTTGGAAGAAAAAGCCAATCACTTTTGAGACTCAGAGCATTTTGTTGAAGCCATTTCTAGAAAGAAATCATCAGAAGGTTTTGAATAACTAAGGTTGATCACCTTTGTAACTCATTCAGTCATGCCTCAACGTTGCAGTTTGCTGATTGGAAGAGTCTTCTTCCCAATTCACTGCAGCAGTGACAGTAACTTAGTTTGTTAGAGTGCTGCTATTTTTTGAGGAGCCAAAGTGCTTATCCTCCTCCTATCAGGGCATCTCAGGTGGCAACTGTCAGTGGCAGCTCCCCATCTTCAGGTTTGCTCCTGCAATCCTTTCTGTTATTTACAGTAAACAATCATTACAACATATCTCTTGAAAAGTGAACTGACAATACTCCACTGACAGAATTTCTCCGTAGCGTGTAAACAACAGCAAAACAAGCCCACTGTGTCTGCAGCATACTTCTGTCTAAGTAGTCATTAAATGAATTACTGGAACATTTACAGGCCTGCTGAGTTAGGCTGATTGATTTTGGGTAAGCAAGTGAAAAATAGAACGTTTGGAAATTTTTATTTCCACCATTCTGAGACCATTTGTGAAGTCAGAAAACTGAAAGAAATTGGATTCTGGTGGTGAATCACTGGAAACTTCAGTGTCTATAAGGGTTCTAGTGGCAGAGTATTTTTTTGCAGCAGACTGGAAGCTAGAGAATTACCTTCTAGTGCTGCATAGTTTTTGCAGGAAATTTGGGAAAGGGAAGTTTTTCTATCATTTTCCAGTAGTTTATTATCTATTTGTGTAGCGGGTCATGTCATGAAAACAGAACTCTTATTTTGGGTTGGTCAAGTTACACAAAGGCAAGATAAAAATAACTTCATATGAGAAAGAAGACAAGAGTTACCTAAACAGTATTTCTAATGCAATATTTGCATGTTTAGCAGTGTGGGGTGTGATGTTTGTACATCTGGTGGTTTCACTGCTGCTTTGGTACAGCAGAACCTCGGTGGACAGGATGTTCAGATAAGGTGGTGCTGGTACCACAGCATCCTGCAGGGCTCTTACTCTTTCCATCACAGTTAAGCCACACGTTGTTGAGGTGCTGTTTGGAAATCACAGCCCATCTCAGTGCCAGGAGGGAGAATTTTGTCTTTATTTTGGTGTATTGTGGTAGTTCCACACAATGTTTGTTGCACAGGACAGCTTCTGCAGTGTGGTTTAGCTGAGAATAAGAATGCAGAAGGGCAGAAAGGGCAAGTAACAACTCCTTTAAATTGAGTACCAAGACACTTCACACCTCACTACAGCATCTTCCCTTCTGTCCATCCCTTTTAGGGAAAAGTTCCAAGGCTCTGAGAGTACCTTCACACAATTTCATGGGTCTCACATATTTTTCTTCTGTAAGGGTATAGTTTAGCCCTCATTAATTCTCTAACTGGGATCATGGGCTGTGTTCTGTAGATACCAGAAAGTTTCAGAACAATTGCCATCACTCTGTTACTGAGTGATAATTTCTCAGGAGTTCATGACTGGAGAAAGGTGAGCTATGAGCTAAAGTTAGATGTATTATAGAAAAAAATTACTCTTTAAATGAGGAAAAAAACCACTGTTGGGACCACTCTTGAATGACTGTGTTCAGTTGTGGGATCATCACTACAAGAAGGGCATGGATGTACTGGGAATACAAGTAAGGACCTCAAAGATGATCTCCAGAGGTGCCTTCTAAGTTCAGGCATTCTGTGATTCTGTGAAAGAAAAAATAAATAAAAGTATGTTGCCTTGACTTGAAAGCTAGCTGTACAGAAGACAATTGTTTCTGCTGCCTAACACCTTTGCTGTCAATGCTATTAAAGAATAGCAGTCAGGAAAGACATTAGCCATGGCCTGGTGAATGTAAAAAACATGTGACACTGAGGATTAGCTTTAATAGCTTCTTCCATTTTATCAGGTTGAAAAGCAGTCTGATTTAAATTGTTGGGGCAAATGACTGTTGAATGTCTGGTGTTCCCTTGCATGCATCGCTCCTTGAATAGCAGTGTCATTGTCTTCAGCCTCTTAAAGGTCAGCTGTGCTTTTGTTCATCTCCAAAACTCAAACCTGTGGGGCTGAATTGTATTTATACAGCATTTTAAATTCCAGTTTTCCTCTTACAGCATTTTGTGCTCTGGTTTCAATGGATGCTTTTAGTAATAAATAGATAAATAAATAAAAGTAACTAAATGAAAAAAAATAAAAAATAACTAACTATACTTCCTAACAGAAATATTTTAAATTCTTTTCGTGCCAAGAATCAAAATCATTTTTTTGGTACCAACCTGGCTAAAATGACACAATATTTGAGTAGGGAAGAGCTGGATTGTTCGTCAGGGCTAGGACACAGAGCAGCTTCTGGGCTGTACATTTTCACTTCACCTTGTTATTCCCTGATTCCTTGTACAGACAAGAAAATAGAGGTCTCACACAGGGAAAGGAATCTTTTTCCTTTTCTTCTGAACATTAAGAGACAGAATGATAATCACTTCAAAATGGAAAGGCACAAGGTCATTTCTGTGTTATCCTTCTAGGTTTGCCTTCAATCTTTCCCATTCCCAGAGCTTATTTCTGCACTTCAAATATCTCTGCCTAGTATTTTCAGTACTGTAAGTGTAGTGCTGACTAAGCAAAGTTGCATATAGGTCAGAAATGCAATTGCTGGTATGAATGGGGATTTGCTATGACTAGGTGACAGGCTGAGGGTTTTGCATTTTTCTGAAGAAAATAATTTTTTTGTTCTATTTTTTCAGTCTCCTTTTTGTCACAGCAGTAGCCCTGTGCATCCATGGCACTGATCTGTAAACGTGGGAGGAAAGTACAACCTCAGAACTTCAACCTTTTGATTAGATATTTAAGCCCCTGCAGGCATCAGCTGACAGCAGCTGTTTGAAAATGAAGGGGACAGAAACGAGCGTGGTTTGGGGTGTGGGGATGAGGAGAAACAAGTGTATATTCATGGGTCCCTTCTGCTTCATTTTGTCAACTGGCAATTTTCTTCAAGAGCCTTTTAGGTCAATCCTTTAGGACACTCACACCTAATCTCCAACAGCTTCAGATGCTGACCACTCACATTTGGAATGCCTGTGCCGCTTTATCAGCCTCACAGCCACTGGAGTACAAAGGGGTCTAGAGACTGTTTAATTCCCTGGGGGCTTAATGGTACCTAACAGCTTCTGCTCTGGCTTGGAAAATGCCTCACTAGAGTTTTGCTAGAACTTTGATGATTCTGGTTTGTTTTTTTGAAACAGTCCAACTCTTGATGAAATTAAAATGTAATTAATGATTCCGTTACCTAATTTAGAAATACAATGGAACTTGCTTTCTCAGACAATAAGATTTAATACATCTGTGATTAAATCTGCCTTAAAGTAAGAAAGAGATAAGTTCTTAATAAGAGGCTTTTATGGAGGACTAGAAAGTACATCTTGTTAGGTTTGGAAAAGCCTTTATCTTAGTGCCTCTAACTTTTGAGTAGAGGATTGGTTCATCACATGTACTAAATTTGAATACTGTGTGAAAATTGTTCACTGAATATCTGATACAAATTACTATTCCATATTTGATTGCTATGTTAGCTATTGGATTTAGCTTTTCCATATTTTTATACATTTAAATAGCAAAGGGCTTTTAGTTGCAGGCTTTTTAAAAATCTTTCTTTGGCTGTTATTTTAATGTGCTTTTCCATGTCAGAAGTGTGATGCTGATCTCTGTGTGAGGGTTATCAAAGATATTCTTGTGAAACTGAGATACACATCTGAAAAAGCTTTTACATAATAAGCCATAAGCCCTAGTTGTTTTACAATAAAGTCTAACCATTGCATTATCATTTTATCTAAAATTAATATCTGTGATTTTCCCATAAATATGAATTACATACACTAAGAAATATCTTTTAGATGTTTTTTTATGTTTGACTTGGTTTTTTTCCTTGTTCGATTCTTTATTTTTAAAATTGAAGATGGGAAAGAAGATTGAAAATAACTGTTATTTGCTGATTGACTTACTAAAATCACTTATGACACCTTAAACCATAGAAGAATAATATACTACCCATTAAACATGCCCAACATTTGGAGCACTGATGTAATGCTGACAGTTTTTAAGTCTTCTAAAACCACTTTCAAGCCACTGGTATAAGAGTATAAAAAATGAACAAGCAAAGTGTATTTAAAAAATTGAAAAGCTGTTTTTCCAAATTCTTCCATTTCTGAAACAGGCTCTTCTCATTTTATTTTATCTGTCTTCCATCTGAGACCAGAAGCACAAATGTCAAAATAAATTAAGATAAGCCTTTCTTGCAGCATTTCTGAGTTGTAGGGAAGAGGGGAAAGCATTGGCAGTCTTGCTGGGAAGACTGTGTTTTTAAGGTTAATTGGACAGATTTTAAGAATTAGGAGTCACAAGTCTCCTTTCTGTTTAGTGTGACACCTGTGTGTTTCCACCTCCTCCAGAAGAATAATTTCTTACCTTACATGGGTTAGAGTTAATCCACCCTAACTGACGAAATAAGTCATTTTAGTGCCCAGCTGTGGAGTACATGTTTTCAGAGTCTTTGAAAATTTTGTTTATTGTTACTTACCCATTATGAGAAGGTTCATATATTTCATCATGTCTTTCTTAACTTCATCTTTTTTTTTCTTCTCCTTTAGGGTGAACCTGGTTTGCCTGGCATAGCAGGAGAGAAGGGAGAAGCGGGGCTCAAGGTCAGTATTGAAAATGGAATAAAAACAGAGGCAACAGAGTATGTGAGTGCATATGTAGATGACAGTCACACTTTCCATCTTGGGTTTATATTCTGACTGGCTTTTAATGATCTGCTGCCTCCAGTGATCAGTGCTGTAAGAGGCTTTACACATCTCACCATAAAGAAGCATATTCTTCTGCTGTGCATGTGTAATTCCAGTCAGTGGCACTGACGCATAGAAATCCACTGCCCACTGAATGCTATATGCCTGCAAGTGTTTGGGAATTTGGGGACCTTTTCAGAAAGGCTTTGTTTATGCCCCTTACAATGTGTTTCAGGCTTCTTTTCAAGAGCTGCTGCGGTCAGTTCTTTGACAAATGTCAGGGTGAAGTCTGGAGGGCTGATCCTGCTATTATGGAAGTTAGCAACAAGCCTCATTGGGAGCATGTCTCAGCCTGTGTTTGTTACAACAGAATGGCTCTTTGCACTTTATTTATTGTTACATAGTTTGTTCTGCTGTTTTAATATTGAACAAGTGAAATAGAACGTAAAGCTTATGATAACTTCATTTAAAGATAAAGACTTGGCATGTCCAAGATGATGGATCTGTGGGCCTCTTGGAGGGGGTAGTGCTGAACTCTAATCCCATCAGCTGCGAGTGAGCGTCTCTGGTGCACGTGTGCTCCTCAGCTGATTCTGTGCATCACACTGCTGCTGACAGACATGCAAGGCAGCCTCTTTACATTTACTGACTGGCTGCCTGTCCATCAGGAATGAAAACAAACCATTTGGGAGCGTGACCTTTTCTTACTCCGTATACAGAAGAAGCCAAATTATGGCAGTTGATGTTTAATTCGTATTCACAGCTGTAGTCCCTGAGTTGCTTAGCGACTGGCAGCCATCAGAAGGGGCAAAGATGAGCTGGAGTGCAGCTCTGAGCCAGAAATGCAGAGATGAGTTGTCAGGGTCAAGCTGGTGTGCAAAAGTGCTTTTGCAGTTCCTCAAGCACGTTTTAATTTTGAAAAAAATAATGGCTATAAGCCATCTTTTTGTTACAGAGATTGTTACAGAGAATATAAGGAGCACTGAGGGCTCTTTATTCTGAAACAGTTATGAATTAGTTCAAGATACTTAATGCATTTTCTCTCTCATGAGGAGCCTTCCGAGCCATTGACAGAATCGTAAGACTTTCCCTTCACAGTCAGACTTTTTGTTTCCTTTGTTTGTTCCCAAAATGAGGAGAACCACACGTAGGAGCCACCTAGGTCCCTGCAGGCTGCTCCTCAAAGACACATGCCTGTTAGCCAGGCTCTAGGACAAAATAGAGAGAGAGAGAGAGAGGCCTTCACATGCAAACCATTGAAGCTTTTAAAAAAATGTTGAAATTGTATTGTCTATTGATATCTATTAAATTTATATATTTTATTGTTCAGTGGACATTTTCTTTTTGTATTGTATCATCTGAGACATTGTCATCAGTAGTGCCATAATTATTAGTAATGATAGTAATAATAACATTATTAATAACTAATGATAGTAAGGCTAACGCTTTGTCTTTTGCCTGAGTTAATAACTTATGACTTCTTTGCTCCAATTATTTTCCTCAGGGTGACCCTGGAGAAAGAGGAGAAAAGGTGAGATGTTTCACTTCCTTTGTTGTGGTTCTGTTTTGGATAACTTGCTTGGAGAATTGCCAGTGCACTGATCCCAAGCTTAAAAATAAAAAACCACAGCTACTACCTAGAATTTGAGTGACACTGCGCAGCCTTTCTGAGGGTCAGATAAAACCTACTAATGGAAGTTATTGATCTGTGATTACTGCAGTGGGATCAGTCACAGAGTGCAGTGATTGTGTGTTAAAGGCTGCACAGCTGAGCAATCAGACAACTAATCCTAGCTATGGTGAGACTCAGAAAATGATGAGCCTGACTGAATAAATTAGAGCTCCATACTTTTCTCATAACTTGGTTTTGATGCTCTGACACCTGTGTGGAATAAAACACTTGGGTAACAGAACGATAAAACGACATAGATTCTAGATAGAACAATAGATTCTAAGTGATGCCTGGATAACAAGTTCTCCATGCACTAAAAATGGAACGCTCCATTTGTGCTTGGGTCAGTTTAAATGAGAGCAAGGCAGTCTGCCCCATGATCTCCTGCACATCCTCATCCTCTGCAGGTAATACTGAGCGTATGTTTAAACAGTAAGTTGTTTGTACTGAGGTGCAATTTGCTCTTGGGAAATGTTTACCTGTGTCTTTGCAGCTACAGCTGAATTTCACTTCCAGATCTGTGTAAGTCTGTGTAATAGCAGCTGGAAGTATGCTTTACCAAGGCAATTAATTTCACATTCTCAAAAGCACACCATAATAATAATTGAGTGAAATCTTGAAAGTCTGTACCCCACATGCAGAACTATGTAATCATGAAATATGCATCATGAAATAATTTCTTCTGTTAAGATGATATTTTTAAAATATTTCAGTAATCCTTAGTTTGTTTTCAGGCATAAAAGGAATAACAATGAATTTTAACATGTACTGAATTTTTGTTGCTTAAAACCATTCTATTTTTCCATAATTGTCTTCTGTCTTTTTCTAAAAAGTGTAGTTACAGATCCCCTCAATGTGCTTTATCATGTCAAATGAACTTGGGATGACATTCCTCATTGTTACTCTTCCATGTTTCATGTATGTTTCCTTAATTAAAGTGCTGCTAGATTTTTAGCTAAATTGTTCCACTTGTACCAGTGACTGTGATGTATAAATTTCTAAGTCCTCTCTGAATGGAATTTTACATTAAGGTTTTCAGAACAATATGACAGATACTGAATAATGTTATTTGAATAGTACTACTGGTTGTCTGACCAAGGCCAGGAATGTGTTTTTAGTCTACTTAGGCTCTGTTTTTATCAATATTTTTGGCATTTTAAATACTTCTTGCACTTCACATGAACCTCAAGTCACACAGAAATTTTTAGCCTATATTCTTAACATATAGCAACATATAACATATTTGATGTAGTCTGGACTTATTATATGGTTGCATGATGAGGTGGAAATTAGGTCTTTTTATAGATAAATATTGTGAAATTTTTATTTAAAAATTTTGTGCATTTTTTGAGTAGAAAATGTCTACTCAGCCATGAAGAGGTGTTATCTGAATGTCACTTTTTTAACAAAAAGAGTGCATAGAATCTATGCAGAGATAAAGTCATTTGGTAGCTCTTTGGAGGAGTGACATTTAGTGAATTTTTTTCAGTTTGTGAATCATTCATGAAGGACTTCAGACTCAGAGAGTATATGCTATAAATTACTTGAGAATCCCCGTAAAAACTACTGGAATTGTCTAACTGTCATCTGAATTTTATTAGATGCACCTAGACGAATGTCTCTGTGTTGGGAAGAAAAATGTATTGGTAATTTGAAGTGCTGAATCATCATGAAATTATTAAATCATTCCTTCCTTGCTAAACTGCAGTGAACTGAGAAAGATGGTAGATGATGCCAACAGGTACTTTGATACTTTGTGGGGGGGATTTTTTTACAGATCTGTGAAAGGAATTGCAGCTATAGTCAAGTCTGTATAAGACACAGCCACAGACTGACTGTCTGAATAGCAGAATCAACTTGCATTGTTAATCATGTTGGAATGTTGACCCTTCTCTGCATACTGTGTGCTTGCAGAAAATCATTAAAATATAATGTGTATTTCAATTACAGGGGGATGCTGGTGAGAATGGAATGAAGGGTGACACAGGAGAAAAGGTAACACCACTTCTTAGCAGAGAAGAAAATGGCATGTTAGGCATGTTTATAGTGTAACCAACTAATGAAAATAATCATTTGTTCAAAAGAAAAACACATTTTGAGCTGGGCTTTTTTTAAAGGTGAGTGATTTGGTTGAGTTCATTTTTATGAACAGCAGAAAAATTTTCATTATTCTATCCAACTAAGCATAAGATTTCTTACTTTATACAGCAGTAGCTCTAGTACAGAATATATCAGCATGGTTCTAGCTAGCACTCCTCTTCGTGGAAATTTGCATCATACAGAAGCTTTGGTCACAACCTTCCAGTGGGAAATGCCCCTTTGAACTATAGCCATTTTTTCTGATTTACCCTTCAAATTTTCCCTTTCTGTGTTTCCATTGAAGAGTGGGACCAAACCAATACAGGACAAAAATTACGGTATCCTGATTGGCAACTTCCCTCCAAAATTGGAAGCTGGAAAATCAAGAGTTGACAATAAGCACACTTTAAATCTTTATTCCAAGTGACATCAACAATAACCGCACTTTATACCTTCTTAGTTCATTGTTGCAAAGTATCAAGATGTTGTAGAAATCACCAAAAAATAGATATTGTCAAAAATTTTGTTTTCCTGAGTTTTCTTTTTTGTGAGACTCACACTCAGAAAATTGAGCTGGTGTTCTCAGTGTAGTTTCTTTAAACAAGCGAGTCTCTAGCAGTCAGGGTAAAGGCTGTGTTGCACATGAGAAAGGGTCAGACATATTGATCTCTTCTGGCCATCATTTTTGAACTCATAGGCTTCTAAAATAATTTCTTTTAGTGACTACACTTGGGCAGAAGCATAAGCACTTTTTCTTATACCCTGCATGTGTAATGCTTAACCAACTTATAATATTTCAGTCTGAGGAGAAGTTTTTAATGGATTTATCAAGCTGGTAAGGAGTGCATGGAAATCCTTCAGGAACTGTTATTTGGGTACAGTAAATCTGTACTTTGAAGAGCACAAGGATTTTAAGGCATATTCTAAAATCAGCAATTAAAAATAGGCATTAGATTTAATAGTCAAGTTACTTGATTTTTGGAGTTATTTTAAATAATACTTCATTTGCAGTGATGCTTACTATCATAGATGAAAGTCTTAAGAACCTTATTTGCTTACTTACATGATGTATGCTGGTAACATAATCTAGATCCGCTCATATGTGATTTAAGAATATAATCCACTACGAGTATGAATTGAGATTGTTGTTCAGATAGATAGTTCTCCAACAAGTAAATGGTAAGTTTATAATCTCTCTGGGAAGCCTCGTGCAGCTTCACCTGTTGCTTTTCTACTTCATTAGCCTGAGGGTGAGCTTGCATCCACGAGAATGCCCATATTGCCCTGCGATCAGTTGAGTCCTGACACTTGCCATCCAGAAAATTAGGTCAAATGCTCGCTCATATCCTTTGTAAATAACAGTGAATTCTTTTTAATGCAGATCAGCAATTTAGAGATGTCAAAGTGTGTCCCGTATTCTGGCTGTGTGAAGTACATTTATACAGCATCTGCATTTTATTATTTATTTATTGTTATTTATTTATTTTTATTAATTTATTATTTATTTATTATTAGTTGTGAAATTTGAGGTTAAGTGTAATAGATGTTTGGGTGAATGAAGCTTAATCTCTCTCTACATGGTCTTGAAAGCAATACTGTTCCTTTTCCGAATCACACGGATGTAATTAATTAGTTAAATGCCTATGTAGCAGCACAGAAAACAGGCTTGCTATGCAGTTATTTTGCTATATGATGTTGCTATACTCTTACATGATTTATGTGTTTCCTGCAAGATTGTTTATGTAATAAGAATGATTATTTCTTGTGGATTTTGTATCAGGGTGACCCTGGCTCCTCTGCGGCTGGAATTAAGGTAATGGAGTTCTAAAGAGGTTGTGCAGGAGAAGAGGGGTGGTTGTACCATGTTGCTTTAGGGTGTCACAGACATTTGGGCTATCATCAGTGGTTTTCCACAGCTCCATCTTTAATTTATTTTCTCAGATCTCGTGTTTTTCATGTTTTCTTTTAGGGTGAACCTGGTGAATCCGGACGGCCTGGGCAAAAGGTACTACTTGGAAATGCTCAGTTTTCCCTTTCTGCTGGGTTTGGAATAAATGATATTACATCCATGTCACCAGTGGCACTTACCTGGACTGGGATGAGTCTGTGGCAATACAGATTAGCAGCCCAAGGCTGTACACATTTTGTCTATGTTTATTTTGTATGTTAAAAAGGCACAGGAATGATGATGCTAATTAACATGAAAAGCAATTTTGACTAACCCACCTTCCCTTCTAGCCACAGCACACTTCTTGAATCAAAAGCTTACCCCGTTGCCACTGGTGAGACTAACAAAGAATGGCTCTGCTCCCTGAGTGATCACAAGCTAACCCTGCATGTTTGGCTATTAATCTTCAGTCTGTGGTACACTGTTAGATCTCATCAGGAAGAAAATAAATACTGGTTAGAATCCCATTCACAAGTGCCTGTGAGGGGAATCAAACCATCAGTGGCACGTAGTGTGTTTGGAAGGACACAGACCAGGTAATGCTGCTCTGTTCTTCCTTCCAGCTTCAGAAATCCCCCTGGGTGCTGTGTGGCTGAGGCTGCTTCTGCAAGGACGGGTCCTGCAGGAGTTACAAAAACTGTGCTGCACAAAGCCCTGTGGAGCTGGGGAGTGTGCTCTTTGAATCCACAGTACTTCAAACACAGCCAGTGCTGTGCCCTCGGCTCCCTTTTGTCAGAGCAGGGGGCAGGTCCTGCAGGGAGAACAGAGACAATGAGAGAACTGGATTTGTGCATTGCAGTATTTGGTTTCCCTCTGGAGCCATTGGCACTGTTCTTGCCTCTTACAACACTGAAAATTTTCCACTGTGCACTGCTGCCAAACAGAGTCCTTCTGCCAGTTGAGATACTCCAGACAGACAGCCAAGAGCTAAAATTCTAGTAGATGGCAAGACAACCATTTTCTAATACTCAAGGTATTTTGGTGACTAAGCAAAACTCCAAACCACATATAAATAAGAATTGAAGTATTTTTATTTAAGAAATTACAACTCTCATCAGTGACTAAATAAGACTATTATTTCTTTAGTAAATGCAGTATTTTATTAGGAAAGGTAATCAAAGTGTAGTTTAAAGCTATCTAATCCACAGAATCATTCAGTGTGTGCATTCTGCAGCGTATGCTTTGCTTGGGAAATAAACTAGAAAATGGAGTTAAGCACCTGTGGAGATTCAGACTCTCATTAAGTGGCTGCCATGGAGGCAAAACTAGCAGTGATTTATCATCAGGCTCCTGGTTCTTAGTCCCAGGCACTCAGATTTGATTTAATTCAAACAACATGGATGAGTGAGAAGTATGCACTTCAGAATTTCTATATTCTCACCTTCTTTTTCACACCAAAGAGGGGCTTAGTGTCTTCCTTCCATTCACCTCATGATTTCACTCGTGTTCCAGCCCCAAACATCAGCTCCCATAACCCCTGCGCAGTCAGCATGTGCCCCATGTCTGCTGCCCTGCACCCCTGCTTAGCAGGGACTTTTTCACCCCACCAGAGGTTGTGGGAGGCTCTTTCTCCAGTTGGAGTCACATCTCTGCCATCTACATCATCTCAGTGCTTTTCCCCCTCTCTGTGTCCCATTCATATTTCCTTCCTGTTTCTTTTCTTTTATTTTCCTTTTTCATCATCTTCTAGTCGTCCCTTACCCATCTTCTGAGGGCAAATATGTGTTGAGCTGCCCACCCAAATATTATTTACATGAAATGAAACATGACAATATTTCAGCAGTCTGACAAGGCTGTTGTGGGACACACTGTGTGCTGAGGGGGCAGAAGGACCTGCTCTGCCATTATGTAATAGAGTTAGTGTACAGCCTTGGCTTCCTTAGAAGTCATTCTTCTCATAAGTCATACTTGGAATTTTTATATTAGAAAAGGTCCAATAAAGAAAATACCACTCTACATTCATCTACAATGCTAGTTGTAATTAAGAAATAAGGATTGATTTCCTTGTGTTTCATATTGTTGTATCTTTTACGGGTATTTGAATTGTTTTAGATTACTGTGACTCTGAACTGGCTCTGGTGGATCCTTTCTCTTTATTATGTGTGAGTGTGTGAGGGTTAGCTCTGTCCCAAAACTGAAGAGTAACCTGCTGCAGCAACTCTAATATAATATCAATTATAAATATTCAAATTCTGTGCTTACAGATGAAATTGAGTGCTTCCACAATTAGGTGGGAAAAGTTGATGGTTTTAGTGCTGTATGCATGGCTGCTCATGCAAAAAGTGGAAAGACAGAGTAGGGGTTTGGAGTTCAAAGTTTTGTTAGTGCAGTGGAGCGTTATTCTTTTGCAAGAGTAGTAACCCATTTTCGGCTTTAGAAGGTGATAGTCAACATACCAAAAAGTGTCTATTGAAAATGGCATCCTTTCTTCTGATTTTATAGTTAATGTTTTGAGACTGGAATCTTTCCTGTGCTTTGAGGCCATTTGGACAGTTAGAACTTTGGACAAGCTAAAACAGACAAAGAAGCTGTTATCAGATCCTTCTATACCATTGCAAAATCACTCCATTTGGTAAAGTGATTTGCGGGCCCTCTACTGTGTTTTTCATTTTGTGGCAGAGTGTAATCTTGTTATGAGTGTTTCAAGTCTATTTAATATCTGTGCCTCAAAGAGGTGTCTCTGGGTAGTGCAGTCTGATGAACAGCTGTATTATGTGTAGGTGTGTTTGTGTTTGTGTGTGTGCACACGTGTGTACGTGAGTGTAGGGATGTACGTAAGCGTGTGTGTACACAGGCACATAAAATATTTTAATAGCAAGCCCATAGGTATCAGCCCAAACCACAGAGTTGAAGTCTGGATTTCTGTAAAGCTCATGAGTGTAAAAAATCTGGAATATAGCTCAATTCATTATAAAGGTAAAGTTGGCTTCAGAGTTCAAACCTGAGCTTCCAGAAAGTTCAGGGAATATTCAGATCCAAGGTGCTGGTTGGAATCCATCTCTGTATTAAAATAAAATCCCCAGCCTTTAAAATAATGTTTTATTCACATGTTTTTGCTCTTTTTTTTTTTTCTCTTCATCATCTTTATTTCCCTAGACAACATCTTTCCATTTAGCATCTCAAAATGACCATTTGTGAGAATGTTGTCATTCTTGTCTTAGACTAATTCCAAAATTAATGCATTCAGTTTTCAATACTTGTTTCAAAATTACCTTGCAAATAGAGTTCTATAGGTCTTTCCATTGCAATTTTAAATAAGCAAGGTTTTTCTGGGTAAAGCAGTAAAAGGTTACATTCCCACTATCCTTCATGTCACAATGTATATTCACAGATAAAGAACCAGCTCTGAAATGATGCTGTGGATAGCTCTATAAAACTGATGGCCCAGTCATAATTAGGCAGTCCTGCTTGAATTGTGCAATTTAAACCAAGCTCTTCTGAATTGCTCTGTAGCTAAATCAGACAGTCTCAGAGCACAGTATCTAGCTCAGAGTTGGAAATGGAACAGAATTAAACATCTGTCATAAGTATGGAACTTAAAAGGCAATGTGTAAAATGAACCAGTGCTGCTTGTTTTCTTCTCTTTTGCTGAAGGCTAATGTGAGTTCATATTTGGCTTTCCTGACATGGATTTTCAGCCTGTGTATCATCTTCACATTGAAGGTTCCCAGAATATATCCAAGTTCTTAATATGTTTCTTACTAATTGTACATTTAAGTCACTCATTTTGAAAAAAAACAATCCTACTGGAGCTGACTAGCAATCATTTATACTCTTTTATCTTGCTGCAGAATTTACAGGGCTGTTCAATGGATAGTGATAACTGGATAATGTCTGTAATATTATGTAATTTTCCTGTGTAGGGTGAACCAGGCCTTCCTGGGCTTCCTGGACTCCCTGGAATAAAGGTAAATAAACTGTAGTACCTCTTGGACTGGGTGGGACCACAGAGAGGGGGGAAAATACAAGAATATAGCTCAAATGGACTGAATTTACTTGTGTTACATCTTTTTCTGTGTCTCTGGTATTAAACTGGGTTTGAGAAAAAGTTATCTTGGTTATCTGTCTGTTAGAAGGCAAACAGTGGATCTTACATTCAAATGTGAAGCAGAACATTCCAGTTATTTCTTTCAAAAATCTAAAGTAGTAGAGGTTTTTAGATTTCTTTTCTTTAATGGAAAAGTCTTGTCATCAAAGTTTTACTTGGTTTCCACTTCCATGTGTGCTTTCCAGTAGCAATATTCTACTGAATTAACCAAGCCTCCAGCAAGAGAGCTGTATTAATTATACACAGGCAATGGAGACCTGGCTCTGTTGACAAAAATACTTTGTGCTCCATTACACAGCAGTGCTTTCCACTGACAAGTCAAAATGTTTTAATAATATCCTGTTCAGTATTAGCTGCAGTCTGACACAATTGTCTACAATTAGCTACTTTGTCTGACACAATACCTGGTTTGGTCCCAGGCTTCCAGTTTGTCTGGAATCTTTAGGTAAGTTGATACAAAACACACATAGTTGGTTTAGTTCTAGCTTAAGTGATTGCACTGGGAGCTGCAGAGGCTTGCACAGTTTGAGCTGTAACTGTGTCATTCTGCACGGAGTGAGCAGATTCACATATCCTGAGTGAGCACAGAGCAGAATGGCCACTTTTCCTTTGTGTCAAAAACTGTCCTTTCAGAAAACAAAATACCTTTGTAACTTTTTCTTTGCATTCCAGCATGGGCCTGTGTATGTCTCAAGGAGAAAGTTCGTAGGATTTCCCCCATGACAAGGAGGATAAGTCAGAGACCAAACTCTTGTTCATTGTGGTAGGATTCAGGATTTATCTCATGGAATGTAGCATTTGCAGTAATTTTCTCAAGGGACCTGTGAATTGCCACAGTATTGAAGCATAATGTCCCTTCTGTGTTACTAGTGAATTATGGGAAAAAATCGAATGTGTGTATTAAATTTTGTGTGTTGTAAAAGCTTAAAATATAGTTCCCATGGAGGTTGTTCATTTTCTGCAAGAATAAACGCTATACTGAGTAGTGAAGATCATGCAGGAGAGGAGTCTTGTGTGATTAAACTATTTTTATAAGGGCCTCTGGCAGCAATCCCTCTTCTGTTTACTTTAACAGTGAGCAAAGAGGTAGCTCAGTTGAAGGTCAGTGGGGCACTTGCCTGAGGCACTCATCCCAGAGATACTTGCCAGAAGCAACCAGAGCTGTGGCTGGTCTTTGGGGTTTCCATGTTCATGCAGACCACATGTCCATGCATATAACCAGTAAATAAAAAAAAAGTCTACATCTGAGTGGCTGCTGTGGGAAAATCATTTGTTGGCAGTAAGAACAGCTCAGCTTCCAGAATCACCCGAAAGACGAAATGTGAAGTGAAAAACGGATGAAGTGTGGGAGTTTTGCCCAGTGAAAATTTGTTTCCAAATTGAGAGGATACAGTGGAAAAACAGTGCGGTTGCCTGCAGAGCAAAATGGAATAATTCGGTCAAATATTAATCATTTAGGAAAAGACTTTCTCCTGTTTAAAATCCAGTCCAGAGGGAGACTGGTGGTGTTTCAATGAAGAAATTTCATCTAGTGCAATTCTGCATTGAGGTGGCTACCTGCAACCTGGATGGTGACAGGGAAGCAGAAGGTGCACAGGACAGAGCAAAGCGTATTTCGTGACGCCAGACTTGCAGGATGGTTGCTGTTCATTTCAAGGCATTTTTAAGCTCTGATTTATTAAGCAGTCTGTAGGAAAAACCACTAGATTCTTCTGAGTCACTGAGGCTATGTCTGTGGCATGAGGAGCGGTAGCAGAAACCAGAGAACAGCTGGGGTTAGGAATATGGGCACTCATCAGCAGAGGAAAAGTAGTAGTTTTGCCCCTTTTTTTACCCTCTCTTTTAGAAAATATTTATATACCACCATGGTAGGATCACTATGTTGATTTCCAAAAACAACATCAGTGTTATCTCATAGAGAAACAAATTTCCAGTGATCTGGTGTTGATCAAAACCTACTTTGAAATAGCAGTGACAGGATGAGAAACTTCAGTGTGGTGGAAACTCAATTGTCTGCACTTGGAGTCAGTTAGTGCTGTCATCTTGTACAAAACCAAGAGGAATCTTACTTGGAGCAGCAACCCTTCCTTCCTTCCTTCCTTCCTTCCTTCCTTCCTTCCTTCCTTCCTTCCTTCCTTCCTTCCTTCC